TGCTGATGTGATTCTACGGAACAGCTGGAAAGCTCAGTGCATATAAGAAATGGTTTTGTTCTACAGCAATGACTCAGGATCATCATCTTGCTAGATGCACGAGATACACAACAACACACAACACTTGTCCACGGCACTGTGTGATTTCTATTTCAGAAAAGAAAACAAAGCATAAAAAGCATGGGATAAATTACACAGGAAAACTAAGACAACCGTACAGGTAGCGTTAGACCCACATATTAGTCCCCACCTCTAGCTGGAACAAAGTCGCTGATGTCCCTGCCCCAAACACTTGATCATCTCCCCCTTCACACACACAGAGAACCCCAGCTGGGACAAGAAAGCGGTCGTCTGTGCAGAGCTGCAGTCATATTGCCACCCTTTTAACTAAGGCAGAGATAGCCTCCAGCTAGGTGTAACGCAAGGCATCCAAACCAGCATGCAAGTGTGAAACCAGTGGGAAACCCCTGGTGGGAAACCAGTGACGTGCTCCAGGAGAAGTGGTTCTCTGGTCTGGCAGACAAAAGGTCTGTTACTGCAAACACTCGAGTAGCAAGAGGATGAGTAGCTCTGTTAATAAAGAAGCAGTTAATAGAGAATATCATAGCAACAGTTGCAACAGAAATTATAAGATAGGACTGATTAAACAGAGGAGGAAAACGTGTTGTTGAATGTGGCTAGAATAAAAGCATTATCATAAAGGCTTCCACATTCATTCAGCCAGACCAGACCGTTGTTCTTCCTATTCATTCTCTTCCACAAAGCATCCTGAAGTCAAAATCTGAAGCACGAAGATGAGTCAACTAAGACCCACTTAGGTCTTTAATGCACACGACACTTCATCATGCCTCGCAATCTCTCACTGCACTTTATCCTCGCTACTCTTAGAAAAGTAGAGAAATATTATATCTTATTTGCAGAGAGGAAACTGAGGTGTGAGTTAAGTTGCTTGAGGACTCACAGGAGATAAATGACAGGGCCAAAACAATAGTCAGTCTCATGATTACTACCCCCAGCTTTGCCCACCAGGCCATCATTCCTACCACACAGACAACATCCTAAAGTATTGCTTTCCATAAAATGGCAGATCAAGAGCTACAGTCTCAAAACGAACCATTTCATTTAAATACCATCTGTTAAAAAAAAGTCCTATTTCAGCTCTGGAAAGTGGGTGCAAGAACTCTTGGGCCATTCTACCAAATGACTGTTCAGCAGATGAGGTAAACAGGCACACTTGTTGGCTTAGTTGTATAGTTTGCAATAGTCTACTCTTTTCTGCTGGATTACTGCTATTATTTGCCAGAACACATCTAGAACAAATCCTCTTTCCACTGGGTAAATAAGCTTGACAATACCTCTTCCAAAAGCGTGATCATCATCTTTCCTTTCACAGAAACAATTCTGACTCTTAATAGAACAAAGTCTACTTCTTGGCACTTTCCTTCAATTTATTTTTAATAAAAACAGAAGTGCAAGAGAAAACCCAAAAAATTAAAATTTAAGCAAAATATTTTCCAAGGGTTCTTTCCATCAAAGGTCCTCAAATCATCTGATGCACACCAGCATTAAATAAAGTTCACTGTGCTTCTGTGGAGTACACACAAGACTGAAGCAGTTCCTCCTGACTTCAAGCGTTGCCCCACTGCTCTGTATGAGAGAAGACTCGACAACTCCCCTTACCTGCAGGCCAAACACACAAGCCCTGAAGGCCGCCTTTCTTCAAGCTCCGCTCCAACGCTGAACTCTGTCCTCTTCCCTCTGTTCACCTGCCACATCAAAACCTACTTTCCCTCATAATCCCCTAAAAGGCAAGCCACACCTCAGCTCTGTGTGGTGAAGCTACAGCCTGTCCTCTGTCCCTCTTCCAAATTAAAAGGGATGCTTGTGAACTTCTACTATTCTCCCCATCTGCAACCTGTTCTGCGTAAGGCCCTGAAAGTCCCGGTCCATCAACAGGGTCTACCAAAAGAGAGCATACAAGGTATCGTAACGAAAACACCGTACCACCTAACGGCAATGTTACTGTTCCACCCCCTTACCCTCCCCAGCACCGGGCACCAATTTTCCTGCAATGCTTTCACATGGGTTCAGAAGTTTCACGGCGCTTTCCCTGCTCTGCCCAGCCGGGGCGGCGGCAGCAGCTCCAGGCACAGATGCCACAGAGGCTCATAAACGGGCCACGCGGAAAACGAGCCCCTGCAGCGCAGCCGGGGGGTGTTTCTCCAGACGCCAAACGGGCAAGACACGGAGAGAAAAGGGGATGTGACAGCCTCCTTCGGCCAGTACTGAATCCCAGCCACCCTCCCCAGCAAACAGGTTCCGGAGGCAGGGCTGCCCGGGCCCAGTCCCGCAGGCAG